TTGGCTTTTACTAATCACTGAACAAAATGACTGCAGTTGCTTAAGGATCAAAGCCTCCTGTAGCTCAGCTTTCTGGAAGCAACTGAAGAAGGAGGCAGAGATATAGACACTTTAAAAAAAGAAACTCCTTGTCTTTTTAATGTAATTTTCAAGTCATCCCTTAGGATTTGATATTTATATCAAGATATTGACTGTAACTAAATACTTTTACAGATTATCCTTCTTTTTTCTGTTTATATGTAAGCTACTATGGAAGTTAGCTGATGTTCTTTTTATTTTCTCTCCTCATTACAACCACAACAATACCTAAGAGAACATCTATTTCCAGCCAAGTCTGTCAGCCTATGGCGTAAAACTGGGCATGCAGTAAAGTGCCTACATGTTTTTCTAGCCTGAACAATGGACAATCTTTAACACTGTTCTTAAGGTACTGATTTCTGCTAAATGGTTGAATAAAAATAGAAACTCACAGACCTAATGGTCATGACATTTCCAACTTCAAATTTCCAGGTGTTAATGTTGGAGGAAAAAAGGTCAATAAACTATGCAGTTTTGGTCATTAAAAGGAACTTGAATATGTTCCTCTGTCAGTAGTAGTTGAAGTTAGATGAAGAATAACGGAAAGTAAACCACTTTTCAGCAGAGTTTTTTAACGTATTGCTTGATTTGGTTTAGAACTGGTCAAATAATAACAGTTTTTATTGAATGGACTGTTCAGCCAATAAATTACATTCCTTGTCCAATGCTACTCAAACAATTGTGTTTTATATATGCTCACATTCACTGCTTTTACATTTTGAGAACAGAGTTAAGAAGGCCTTCATTTGGTAGAGCTGGGTAAAGTGATTTAAAGAGATATAAATTTGTGGACAAACTACCTTTTCTGAAAACAACCATATTTTGCCTGAAAATTTCCAGCGTGATACACCATCTGTGAGCTTACCCATCTGTCAGACCCCACACTTTGATCTTCAACCAGTCGGTGCATTCAGTCAGAGGGAAAGATTTTAAAGACACTAAGACTCTGAAGTTATGTGAAATGGCATCAGGCGGGGGGAGATGTGAGAAGTTTCCTGCCAGGAGAGATAGCTACACCATGAGCATGACTTGCACTAAACTCAGAAAAATCTATTTGGGAAAAAGTGTTTAGAAATACCCTCCTCACAGTATAATGTTCAGAGCTTTCACTTTCTAAAAAACTAAATTGCCTTGGAGAGAGAAATCTGTAGGAAGCCTAACTTTAGTTGCAGTCTTCACAGATGAGCTTGTTTCTAAGAAAAACCTTTTTACAGAAAAGGAATATGCCCCAAAGCAAACTGAACACAAGGCAAACATTGCAATATTTCTCTTCGTTAAATTAGCTGATGCTGAGTGATTAGTACTAGTGTTCAACTCAGCTGTTAACTCTTAGCTGATTTCCTAGTGCTTAATTCCCAGATAATTTCAAAGAGATTTATGCACGAGCTCAGAGTTAAACATAGACTTAAATATGGTACTATCACAGGCATTGTATAGGCATATATTTATTACAAAATATTCCGAATCCCAGCTTGAGCATCATCTTTAAGCACACTGAAGTTGAAGAGATTACTTGCATTCCTACGGATCCCTGCAGCCTTGAGCACCACCTTGAATTATGGCGTAGTAAGGAACCAGTACAAGTCTTATCTCTGAATTTGCAGAGTGGGCTGAACTACTGAATTTTGGCGGTGTTGAAAGAAGCCTCAATCAGTTAGTTACTTCTCTTCTGTATCTGGTTTGGCAACCAGTCAAGAAGAACAACTGCTCATTTCCTATTAATTTATAATGCACAATTTGCTGTGAATACCTTGTTTATTCTAACATGAAGGCTATATTTTCATTTCATTTTGGTACTACATTAGTGGGAAGACGTGAGAATTGAGGACAGTATCAAGCCACAGATCAATAGACAAAGGAGTTTTTAAATGGCTTTGAAATGCCTACATTGATAAAGCTATATCCATTATTCTCTCTGCTAGTTGGGTAGAAATAATAAATATTTTAAAAATCCCAAAATAGACAGAAGTAATAATATTGACTAAGCAGAAACTGTTTGCCGGGAGATTAGGCTTTAGTTGGTAGGATTTAAATATGCCTGGCATGTCAAAGCAATGTGACAAGCCAGTGTTTTCATAATGTTCTGTGTCTACCTCATAACTTGTTGTGAAAGGATGATGACTGTTGCCAGCTTGCTTTGTTCTTATTAATATTTTTGAAGATAAGAAAGTGAAATGGCTCCATTTCAAGAATTAAGTTATTTCTTTCTGCCAAAATACTGACAGAAACTCTTGGTGTGGGAAGATAAATGAGAGTCCTGACTCCTGCATCGCAAAAAAGAAGTCAACATTGCTTGAGAGAGGCCTTTCTGTTCAAGCTGGTGTCACTTCTTTTAACATTGCAGATGCGAATGTCAAGTAAGTTTTCTATGTGGATTCCCATAAATGAAACGGAACACACTGTTGAACTCAGGCACTTTGAAGCTCTGATTTTAAAAGTCAGGGATAATTTTAGGGAAGGGGACGTCAGAAGAATCATCAAGTGGACCACATAAACCTCAGTTTATATTGTAACATCAGCCCTATAGCATTATTTGCAGCCCATGTCTAATGGGATATTTGCCTGTTTGTCTTTGCCACTGATTATTCCAGCTCCCTCAAAACTGCACTTGCAATGCCTTCCTCCCATTCATGTAGATGGTATTTGAACCTCTAGTGAATAGCTCTCTGTTCACCTCCATTCTAATCCAAAAGTCAACCTTTTCCATGGGTCCAAAATGGCAAAACTCGCACCCAGGCCCTTACCAAGCACAGCAACAGCAGTAGATCCTCCTAGTACACCTCATGTGGACCACCCTTCTCCTGAGGTAGCCTGGTCCAGATACTCCTGCTTGCTTCTTGCTTTATTCCTTTGACCTGGATACCCCTGTCCTTATGCCAGTTCTTTCTCTGCTGCAGAAAGACATTTGTTTTCTTACTAGAACAGGACCCTTCGCTATTTAGTTGAGTTCTTCCTATTAGGACCCACCTTTTACTACCATGCTGGTGTATGTATTACCCATGCATTTCCTCTGGCAGCAAGCTCAGCCCTTGTACCCTCTGTGTCAGATGGATGCACAGGGTCATTTTTCACTCCCCTCCCTTCCAAAGCCCTTCTCATGACAGTTGCCCCTGGTACTCTGCTCACTGATGATGGTAGGTAGAAAATGGATGGTGTTCATCCAGGGCTTCAGTTGCTCTTCTGCTCTTTGCCTGTACTCCTGCTTGGTTGCCTGCCTTTTATCATCTTCCTCATATTCATCTGGGATTGGGAACTCTTTGAGAAGAGACTGGCTACTTTGAAATTCCTGTGAACGCCGTAATGTTTGATCTGTGACTGATGCTTCCAAACTGTGCTGTGATGCTGTATCAACATGCTTTAGCTGATAGAAAATACCTCTGGCACATGAAGGAAATGACATGAAAGTCACGACCAAGTTAAGAAGTGAAACCGTTTATTACAGGTGACTCATAGGCAAATAGGAAAACCAGCCATCAGCACTTCAGAAGAGGGATCACTGCAAACCTTCACCTCTTCACCTGTGTGCTGGGTTAAGTCAGGAAAGAGTTAACTCCCTTTATGTATTGGTGAGTGGGTGGTATGAGGAAATTGTACAGATTTTAAATGAGAAGAGCTGTTTATTTTCTATTATTTTAAATACTCATTATTAGTCATATTTGTATATATTAATTTAGATTCAATTAGTAAATAGTTCTTGTCTCAATTTTACAAGCTTCCTTGTTTTTCCCCTCTGATTCTCCCCCTCCACTGAAGGAAGGAGGCGGGGAGAGATGTGAGAGCAGCTTCATGGTATTTTGGCTGGCCAGAGTTAAACACCTTGCAATAATTCTTACATCACAGGTAGATATGGGCCAGCCCTTTGCACTTTGCACATCTTGCTCTAATTGTTTCAACTGAGAGTAGTTCTTCAAACTGGACAAGCTCTTGGGCAGACATGGTTGAGATCATGATCAGGAGTTTATTTACTTGCAAAGTATGCATGTTGAAAATTGGGGAGTGTAGTCCTTTGCTTTTCCAGTTTAAACAGATACAGGAGACATCGAAGAGGGTTGCAGTAGTGCTGAGAAATCACATATTAAATAGCTCTTTAGTGGGAAAGTGCTGTAATTCCTACCATATCTTACAAAAAAAAAAAAAAAAAGCAACAGAAAGCATATAAATATATCCTATCTACACAAACAATACAACACAGCTGTCTTGTAAGCAGGAATTAGTAGCAGGACACTGTTACAGAAACTCCCTTGGGGAACTTAAAACCCCACAAATTTAGTCCATTCAAGGCCACAGAGAAACAATGTGCTGCTTGTACTCCTGTTTCCTTCCCTAGTTTCCAAAATGGACATTCTACAAACCATGTTTCTGTACATTTTCCATTTTGTTTAAAACTTAAAAGTCCTTGGATTGGCATAGTTTTTTTCCATTCAAAAACATTAGCTAAATACATTCCTCTCCACATTTACGTATTTATATTTCCCTTACTTGCTTAAACCAGACAACATGAAGTTATTTTCACTGTTCAGTGCAAGAGCATAATTGATAGAGCAATACTGTTATGAAGTACTTTAGAAAGGGTTTTAGTAGAAGAAGATTAATCTTAAACTAGTTTAATTTAAACAGTTCTATGACAACAGCTGGGCACATAACTTCTGGGAAATACAGATGCAAATTCAGACTGGAGGATAAGATTCAGGGAAATTAATGAGTTGCAGCTGCTGAATCTGACTACTACATCTAGCAACATCTTTGTAGATCAGAGGCAGACTGAGCCCTAAGATAAGCAGCTGTTCATCGGTCTATGGCAAGCTGTTGCTGGACGTTAGATGGCAACAGAATCCTTCACCACTCAACTTGCATTTTCTTCTTTGTCATTTTAATAGTGATTCCTGTGCAGTTCAGGTGCCCTTTCCCCTCCCATACACTACCTGTGATTGCCAACTGTGTGACGAAGAAGGTCATTCGAGATTTCCGCTTTCTCCTCCATGTAGAGAAGAGCACGATGGCATTTCCAGCAATTGTGACAATAAAGAGAATCCAAAGAGTCACCAGCTGCTCTGTCTGCAGTAGAGAGAAGGGAAAAAAGCACATTGGTAGGTGGGTGGGTAGTGACTTGGGTTAAGCCAGTTAGTTATGCTAGGAGAAATCAGATGCGAATGGAAAAAAGGAGTGAAATGTGAGCTTTGCCAATTGATTTCTAATTATTTAGTCTAAAAGATATTCTTGTCCTTTCACAAAATACTAAATCACCAGCATCGCTGGTGATGTTCATTCCAGTTTGATTTGCAGTGGCTGTATATTACTTTTATCTTCACAAAACTACTAGCAGTGTCTGTGTTTGGCACTTAACACTAAAATGAGAGGCAGCCCTCAGTTTTCTTGTGCTGCTCCAGCAAGCTGTGAAATAACCAGCTGCCTCACTTTGTAAGGAATATTGATAGATGGGCTCCTTAGGGAGAAATGGGGGAAATAAATACTTCTCCCCTTCCCAGCTCCAGGGACTCTGGGTACCCACAAGCCCTATGACATCCAGACATCAACTCCATGATCTAGATGTGCACCAAGATTGAGAAGAAAGCATGACCCACTGTAAGGAAAAGTAAAATTGAGTAGTGAATGATATGTGATGACAAAACATCCCCTATTGGTACTGTGGACAAGAAAAAAAAAAAAAGGAAGAAAAAGAGCTATTCACACACAACATCAGGATCATCTGGTTGCAAGAACAAGGGCGAATGCACCCAGATTTGTTTGTTTTGTGAGTCTACACCCAATGTTCTCCCTCCTTTTGGCCTACCAAAGCCCATCTGCTACTCGCAAGGTGCAGGACAGTTACTTTCCAGTGGCCACTCTTCAGGTTTCACCTCACCAGATGAGAACGAGGAGTTTGTTTTCTCCAGAGCAGCCAGCCGTCTCTGAGCCTGAGAAGCGCAGACTCTGGTGAGCACAGGGTCACCTTGGGGAAAATATTCTGGATTTCTGCAAAATTCTCACTTACAAAAACCTGTCCAGCATAAAGCTGTATATAGTGGCATGGAGGAAGATGGTTCGACTGCTCTTCTGCAAAGACAAGTAGAAGAGAGGGGATTTTTCACAGTAACAGGTTTGAAGGGCATAGAGCAGGGCAGCTCAGGAGAAAAAAAAAAAAACTAATGCATCCAGAAGCAATGATATACACATTCTTATTAGAGCTGAAGCGTGGAAAAACCCCATATATGGTTCAGCAAAACTGGCAGTAAACCCAATTTCCATTAGGGACCCCTCTCTCGGGGCCTGCTCCTCCTGAGCAAACCCCTGCCTCTGGTGTTTCTGGAGGAGACAGTCCATATGAATGAAAAACCGAAGAGCCTCAGCCCCCTGCTCCGTTTTCTTGTGGCTTTCCATTGTTTTGGATGCATCGGTCACCTGGATTCATATCCTACCATCTGGGATGAATTTTGGATTATGTCAACGCAGTCATTTGGGATCTTCCCATTCCTGATACCAAACCCATAAAGTGGGAGCTAGTGGAAAATGGAGGAGATGGGCAACAGCTGGTGTTGACGAGGGATCCCAGCTGCTGGCCCTACAGAAGAGACCCCAAGGCACTGTCCTGAGCTGGTGGGGGGAAGGAGCTTGTCAGGAGAGCTGTGCCTACCCAACTGGGATGATGACAGAGCAGAAGGAGGGGAGAACACTCATTAAAGCCATTTGGCAGCCACTAAACTGTGATTTTGTCATGGGTTAAAAGAAATCAGGACTCCAGCTGCATGCAAATAAAACAGCTCAGCTGTGAGCATGGGAGGGAAGGTGAAGCGACTGGAAAGGAGCAGGGCTAAGCACCTTCTTACTCTGCCATGAGCTTTCATGCCTCCTCAGCTCTCAGCCGGCAGCCATGGGGAGGCACTCGTGGGAACCACCCTCAGCTTTGCTCCAGGTAGGTAGCTACGCGGGCATGCAGGAAAGGCAAGAGCCAGCCTATGAGCAATCTGAGGTTGTGCTTTGTGCCTGAACCCAGAGATTATTTTAAGCATACAATGAAGGCTGTGATGGTTTCATTTTTTCCCAGCATGGTAACTTTTGCCAGCATAATCTACCATTTGGGTTATCTCACCTGACTTTAAAATTCTAAAGAGAGACAACTACTCTAAATTGTCATAGTGTAGTCTAGATAATAGCAGTGTCTCAGAGATGAGTCACCATTCATCTCACCTACCTTGGGATGGCCTGTCTCCACTGATTATAGAGTGACCTAGGTAAGACAACTTCTGTGGGCTGGATGCTTAGGTTTTGGACACACGCACGCACACACACACACACACACAAACAAAAAAACAAACAAAAAAACCCCCCAAACCCCAAAAATTCGACTTTTTTTGGGCGTCTGCAAAACTCTTGATTTTCTTGGAAACAAATTGCCTTCAAAATGTGTGGCAGAGACATGACAAATATTTTTGTGGGGATGCTTTTCTTTGTACAGGAGTTGGAAGAGTGTGTCTTTTTGGAAGGTAATTAAAATTAAAAAAGCTAAGTTTTCATATTGTTTTTGTTTCTGAAACCTGTGGGTTCTCCTCAGGGTTTGGTTTGTCTTTTCCATTTTAGAAAATGGGAGGTGAAGAAATGAAGAAAACTGAGGGGCAGGACTTGTTCTTATTTTCTCTGATATAAAATCAAGACAGCATTTTCTTGAGAGAAATTCTGTATTCCTGTATTCTACTGATAAGGGTACAAACAGAACAAGGATCTCACACTCAAAGCTTCTTATGATTCCCACAGAAGAAATAGCTGTGAAGCAACAGAGATTGTGTTAGAGGGGTGTTCCCCCACCATGGGGTGCATCACATACAGTCAGCTTAAATCCCCTCCTGCCGAGTTAAAAAGCAGTGGTTAACAGTTAAGCAATTTTAGGCTAAGCCTCTACAGAAATATACAATTAAACCAGGATACAAAGATAATGTAAAAGGTGCCAAAGCTGAATGTAGGAGAGGTAAGTTTGAAAGGCCACAGACAAAGGAATAAAGCCAAAGTTTCTATTAATCTATTTGTGGTAGCTGCCATTCAGAGAGAAGAGAAAAAGATCTCATTCTTGGGGATTAAGGAGCTATAATAGCTCCTTATAATAGGCAACTTAAATCACTCAGCCTCTCTCAGTCTGCGTTAGCTTTCAGAATGAAAACTTCTGTGGTTATTAATGGGATACCCACTACGATAAAAGACCTTCACAGAGGCTAGGATTAGAATCCATAATGATCTTGATGAATCGGAAACATGCACTGGAGAAAAACCAAGATGCTGTTCAACAAAGGGGAAGTAAGGGACTCTACAGTGCAGTGGGTGGAATCACATCAGGTTGGGCAAGCCTTCAAAACACCCCCCCACGGCATGCGTCACGTAAAGTGCCCCACAAGTGGAACATGATTTAATAATGTCACCCTACCATGAGTGACAACCAGCATCATGGGATTGACACTAGTCTCAACTGCCTCTGCTCTAATCTTTCCACTGTACTTTCCAGGAGCTGTGCTATGCCCACTCCTAGGCCCCATGTTTCAGGAGAGACATGGAGCAATGAGCTAACAGCAGTCTAGAGGATACAGCCAGGTATAAAGATTGAATGAATTAAGTTGTTTAATGTAGCAAAAACCAGAGTGAATGAAAATACGAATGTATCCCTGAAGACACAAAAGGACTGATGTAAACAAGGAAAAGAATAATCTCTTCTTCAGATCCACTGCGGGCTGGCCAAAAATCTGTGAACCAAAACTACAGCACAGAATTCAGGTTTATAATTTTAAAAAATTGACTTAAAATTGCACCATATATAAGTAGATTGATTGAGTCAGTGAAAACTCCATTTTTGAGGGCCATAGCTATTAGATTAGAGAGATAGCTGATTGATCCTTGCACTTCACTCCAGATGCATTTTATATAATTTTGTTTCATTCACCACCTTAATGTTGCTTAGACATAGAGGTGTTTCATTTCATGTCTTATTTCTTCATCAAGCAAAAAACCTCTCTTTTTGTAGCAATCCTCAGCAAGGTGATTTACAGAAAACATTAATAGCATGTTGCACAGACATCAGTCGCATTCTGGATGAAAAGAAAGATTGTAACATCTCCCCTGTGTAGAAGCTTTTGGCAAGAGCTGCTTTTGCAATGGGCATGGCTTTCTACATGACACAAGAATGCCGTGAGAAAGGGCAGTGTTGTACACCAGTTCTTTTAGATTAGAAAAACTAAAGATGATGGTGACTTAATTAAGGTGACAGAGCAAATCAAAGTCAAGAGGATTTCCTTGGCTTGACTACAACCATTGCATGCGCTGGTATTCCACGAGACTGCTGTGTTTGGAGCATGAACCATTGCATGCGCTGGTATTCCACTGCTGTGTTTGGAGCATGAAGTGCTTGACATCTGGAGCACATACACGTTTGCTAATTCGTTTTAAGATTAAAACCAGCTTCAGTCAATGAAGCAAGCCTCTTCATGGGTGAAATGTAAGCCAGAAAACCAATCTGATGATAGTGTACGTTTTTCTTTGCTTGTAGAAGAGGCTTGTTATTTTGTCTCTCTGACAAAATTTCTGAATCCAAAGGCTGCAGTGAGTCCAGAGGTGTATTCTGCTTTCTATTTGAGAAGATCATCCCTGCTAGCAGCTTTAATCAAGACCATAGTTAGGTCCTTTCAGAGTCATTGGGAGACATTTTGGTGCCACGAGGCTCTCCCTCCTTCCAGTTCTCCCCAACCAACTTCCTTGCTCAATCATTTCTCAGGATTTTTGTCCACTCTGTTGGCACACCTGCTGTGGCTGTGGAACAGGGATGTACCTACAGCCCATCACAATGGAGGTGCTGCTGCTCATGTCTTGATGTGCAGAAGCCCTTGCTGCAGTTGCCTCATAGAAAGAGAGGTTCAACTACCAAAGGACAAAGCACGTTTGTACTTGACTTAGAACCCAGTGTGAAATTGTTTTGTTCTAGCTGCAGAGGCTGGTTGGGAAAAGCCTGGAAAAATAGGTTTCTAGGTAAGAAATGAGTAAATAAACAAACAAAACAAAAAAAAAAGGAGAAGCAGAGGTAC